CATTCACTAACAAAACAGCTCTACTAAGTTGAACAGTCTCTGTCACTGGAAATTCAAATGAAAAAACATAGCTATGAATTAATCTGACTTGAGTGCTAAACCATAAAAAAATTTGAAATGCTTTTGAGAAATAAAAAAAAATAACAGATACCTGAAAGACTACAATCCTTCTCCCTTTCTCTACATCTCTTCAAGAGCATTTTATAGGCAAACAAGAAAAGAGGCCTCAAGCAACACGATTTAATACCAAGTTTATGGTTTACTAGAATAATGAAATCTTCTGTTTCCTTATTTTGCTTCCCACAGCAGTCAAAACAAGGTATCACATCGACTTCATCACTGAAAAACATAACAAGTACTTGTTTGAAAACCAAAATAAACTATTGTTAAAACATGACAACGCTCATATAACAAATATGTTTCAAATTCAAAATTGAGTTAATATTGATTGCCATAAAATTCCCTACAATTAAAACGGAGGAAGAAATTGGAAAATTGTCTAACTTTTAGGGACCTAATTTCAAAACATAGCTACTTATTTCTAAAATCTGCTGAGTAATAAGCCTACTCAGCAAAATTTGTGCAAGTATTTTATCAGATTAATCTCACCAGCTTTCCTTAAAAACCAAAAGAAGGTAAAAAAAAGGACTTTTCGTGTTCTTTAATCAAAAACACGACCCTCGTACAATCGAATGAAATTTTAATTCCGTAACATGGAAGCACAAGAAAATTAGTCATGAAACGAAGAACTAAGGTTCTAAATCAAGATGTTGAGGTGCAAAGGATGATAAAAATAAAAAATTAACTAACTTACATTTCGGGGTCTGAAATAAACGCCTGATTTAGAAAGCAGAAGTACTTTTCACCAAGTTCAGTGCAACAGGTAGGCGCCATCTTTGTTTTCTTCAGACTGGTAACCACCCTTAGCTATGTAACCTGGCTTGTCAATGAAATCCAACATGGCGGACGGCTCACGCTTTCCGCCATCAAACTTTCCACCTCAAAATATTCGCATTCCAGCGCCATTCACCAATGAAATTTCTTCTTCATGCACAAATCGTCTGGGTTTACCTCAAAATCAATTTTTCCCACAATCGCATCCGTCTACAAGCAATTCAGTGCATGGACATATTTCACAGAAACTACCAGCGAATCCGAGTCACAACATGGCTTACTACAATGTGCAGAGATTTCCAAAGCCTCCGTTCCAGCAAAATCACGGCACTCTGCGACAAGGAAAGCAACCGATGGCTGTGAATATGACGGAGATGCAGCGACATCCCTTTGCGGCCGGCCAGTTTACCACCGACAAACAACGGCATGTACAAAATTCAAGCCCTAACTCTCATTATGAACCTTTCTCTGGCCATGGGCAAATACAGCTTCATCCAAGAAGTTCTCAGACTAATATGAACAATAATATAGCGCATAATTCCTCATCTTTCTCTCCTGGAGCTCGGCAAATTTCAAACCTCAATCCATTACCAGCTGCAAGCAAAGTTTCAGTGAAACATGAAAATTCTTCTTTCAATTCCTTTACTGAATCATTGCCAGGACCATTTCCACAGCCCATTTCTGGGTCACATGTGCTAGCACCTATCCAGTTTCCTCCATCAGTACCAAACAGCAACCCAGCAATGCACCTAACAGCACCTCCATCATTACCAAACAGAGTCCCTTCATTGCACTTGGCAGCACCTGTGCTTCCAGCCCATCAACCTTTTGACAGGGTCCAGGAATTCTCAAGCCAGGACAGAATAAATACATTTTTAAAAGAAAGAGGAATTAGTAAACAGGACAAACAACAGACAATAAAGAGTAGCTTGAAGGTAAAGTACATATCTTCATCATTGCTGTGCCTGAAGGGTATTTATATTGTGGCTTAACCTGCATTTTTACCTTTGCTTTTGTGTGCAATGAAAAAAGACAAAAGTCTACAATTAATAGTGTATAACTGAGTTGAAAACGTAAATTAGCCACCGTAAAGGGTAAAAAAAGCTGATGTTTCAAGCATTAGCCCTTCGTCAGAGTGAACAATTCCTCCAATTGCTCTGATGAAGGGCTAACACTTGAAATGTCAACTTTTTTAGCCTTTATGGTGGCAAATTTATGCTTTTAACTCAGTTATTAAGACTAAATTACCTGCTATACTCTCCCACCGATGCAGCACCACAGTTTCTTTAGAAACTTACCCCCTTTATTCAATTAATATGTTTGACCTACATGGCGCAAGATAATTATATCTCCTTCCTTCTCTCACATCTCCTTTCCCTCCCCCCCCCCTCCCACCCCTTTTGTCTATCTATGGTCTTACAAATAGGCATTTCAAAGTATTTCTGATTTTTAATTGATCCAAGTTAGACCATTTTGTGTTTTTTTCCAGAACATTCCAGTGACAATTCAGTTAGAGTAGCTTTTAGCTCTAATACAAATGCTGATTATTCAACAGTTACATACAGCAAAAGATCTGTTGGTAGAATGGTTGCAGCTGATATCTGAGTTGTCTCTTCAAAGGGACAAATTAGCTGAACTTGCCTTAAGTCAAAATGAACTTGAATGGGATCAGGAACTGGAGAAGGCTCAAGTCCTAAAGGTCAGTAAATGTTTATACCAGATCTATGCTCCTTTTCAAATGTTCAAACAAAACCAGTCCTACCCATATTGGAGACTTTTTCACACTTTACACTTTTTAAACACCTCTGTTTTTTTTTCTTTTAGGCAAGGATTGAGCAAATCCAAGCTTACTTTTCCTCTTCCAAAGAAATGAAAAAGCTGGAGGAACAAGTTTTGAAAAGGAAAAAGAAAAGGGTGAGTTCTGGGAATTTTTTTGCATGATATCACATGAGCAGGTTTTATAGCAAATGTAGTGCTAACAACAAAATGATTGAACTGTTTACAACAGATTAATGGTCAGGATTGACTAGCAGTTGGTGTTTGGCTTTGATTTGTAATTATAGTTATACTATTATTTGATACTTGATAATTGATTTTTTTTAGGTATTAGTGAAATAGTGATTGATTAACCCTTTCACCCTCAGATCTCTTTAGTAATTCTCCTTACTGTCTTTCATACAATTCTTATGATGTTCATGCTGAGAATTTGATATTGGATGAACTCATAATCCCCTAATTTAAATTTTTCTTTTTTGACATGATCACTTTTCTGCTCAGTATTATAAGTAGAAAGTCTGTCATGGTCAATCGTGGGAGTTAAAGGGTCAGACAGCCTTTAAATTTTTGCTAAAATGATATGGTTGAAAGAATTTAACTTCATGTTTCTTAAGGAATGGCAGAGAAGAAGAAGAGAAGAAGATTATTTGCAGAAGCAGGAATCAGAAGAGAGAAAAAAGAAGCTCCATAAGAAAATTGATGAGTGGAGGTCGCAGATTATAGCAAAGGATGAAGCAAAGAGAAGGGTAATTTTAGTTTCAGTCAGGTCTTAAGCCTCACTTACACTACTCTGGTCAGGGCTTTAAAAATACAAGCAATCTACTGCCTCCTCTAACACCTCTTACTGCTGTCTGTTTAGCCTATGAGCACATGCCCAGATTGCTGGAAGTTGCTTTTCCTTGTTTTGAGATTTTATTTCTTTTCTTGGGAGAGCATGCTTCAGAGGCTAAGAACCTTCCATCCCCCCTCTATGACACAGTGATCTATGACACCATTGGTAGCCCCTCATGGGAAAAGTTATTGAAACCTCTGTCTGGGTAAAATTTGAAATCAAATTTTATTCCTATGGCTTCATTTATCTTCCACTCCAATCAGGGTGAGTTGTTTGGTGGAAAGTGGGTTTTGTGAAAACGTACAGCACAGAGGTTAAATTTTATAGGACCACTTTTGAGGTTTTCATGTAGAACTTTAGTTTTTTTTAGTGTGGTCAGTTGTTTACAATTTCCTAATTTTTTTGTTGTTGTTGTATGTAAACAGGCTGAATCAATGAAGCATGAAGCTGGAGGAGTATTAGGAGAGGTGAAACGGAAACAAACTGAAGCAACCAAAGCTGTTGATCTTTTGAGAGCTTTGAGAAAACTTAGAGAAGCTAGAAAACAAGAGGCTGAAGTCAAAGGTACCCAAGCTTTAAAAACATTCACTTATTTTTTCATCGAAAAAAAATGAAACTATAGTAACACCTTTTCTTGTAAACAAGGTACAAAAATTTTGTGATTAGATGAATTTAACAACTTCTACCTCATAAATTTGAATATTTTATTTATTTATTTATTACAGTCTATGGTCAAAAAGGCCAAAGGATTATCTGCAAAGGAGTTCAAAACCCCATATAAAAACAGATCACCTATAAACTAATATAAATACACTAAAGATAATAAATTCAAGAAATGCGTTTTTGGATATTTTGGGGAGAAGTTACATGTTTATCACTTTTGGGAGTTATAGTGTTAATTTGTTTATTTTCTCGTTATTGTAGGGGTTTACCTCAAACCCACAGAGGAACAGAACAGAAGGTTTGACGAGAGAGTGAAGTGGCTTGAGGACGTCATGGTGAGAAGAGAAGAACTGTATGAAGCTGAAGAAAAGACTTTACAGGTCATGTTGGCTGAAGAGGAGGAGGAGAAGGAGAAGGAGCGACGAGAAATGCAAAGAAAAAAGCAAGGTACAGTCATCTGTATTCCTTCGCTTAAAGAAGACTGCAACACACTTTAGAACGCTTAGACTTGCGAATACGCATGCGTTTTCATTGTCTGTATACCAAATCAGATCAACCGTTGAAAAAGTATCTCAACGATCCGCTGTAGCGCGGGGAAACGCGAGTGATGCACTTGCTGGTTGCATCCGACTGGTTAACGTTAGTTTTCTTGAACAATCAAAAAGCACAGCAAACTGAAATGCTAATGCACGTAGCACTCGTTGATGTACGTACTTTGAAAGAACTTCAAATTTGAGACACTAAAGTTTTGGAGAAACTGCTAGAGCTCTACCAGCTGTAAGTGATCATGCTATCGCAGCTGAATTACATATTGATAAATTGTAACAGTAAGCTTCTTTCATTTTCTTCTCAGAATCTTTAGGTTTGTCAGATCCAATGGACTGGTTCCACAGCTACTACAGTCAAGCTGAGAGTGATCTTCAATCCTTACTACAAATAAGGTATTGCTGTTTGACGAAGGGCTAACGCTCGAAACATCAGCTTTGGGAACTCTTGACGGTGACCAATTTACATTATCAACTCAGCTGATGAAAAAAAATTATCTCGTTACTCTCCCTCACCGACGCAGCACCAAAGTTTCTTTAAAAACTTATCCCCTTTATTATCCGGTAATCATTACGCCTTCGATCACTTTTCGAGAGGCACGGAGGCTTTCGTTAAGATCTAAGAAAGCGTCAAGGGTTAGGAATCATCATCTTCTGCTAAGGTTATCAAAACGTTGGTCATTACTATCAGCACTCGCAGTAGTCGTTCTTAGGACTACTCTCTCCTGAGAGATGATTCAACACGAGTAAATATTACTCTTGGGTTCATTTGAACAATTCACCGAAATACTTGCAATATTCACATGCACGCGTTCGTAGAAGCGTAAATTTGAACTTGGTCCTGTTGTAATCTCAAAATACTCTGCTTTCCCAGGAAAATTGAAGTTGAACTTATCATCGGCTTTGTTCATTTCTCTTCCCTAGGCGGCAGTGGGATGCGTTCCTGGTACCCGAGATGTTCCCAGGGGCGTCTCGTATCCCCGACGGGTGTGTAACCCCCACGGAACCTTCGTCAGAGTTGTGGGCTACAGCACTTATCGACAAGGGCTAGTTCATGTCTAGCCCTTCAAATTTAGCAATAAATTATAGAAATTCTATCTCTGTTAGGGCATTGTTACTTTATTTCTGCGTTTGCGTATAACTTATCAATAAATTTATTTTTTCACTTCTGTCGTTTTATGCTTAAAACTAAAGAAAAGCTTACTTTAAAATTATCCTATCTGAGATCTTGTAACATATTCGTTTCCCTCCTTACAACAGAAAATCAGCCTGGATTATCAGATGGCAAGTAAGTTCCACGGCTTTGTTTTGTTCAGAAAAAAATTGTTTATATTGTCTCGAGTCGAGGTTAAAGGCATTCTTTAGAATTTTTGTTTGTCCTCGAACAAACAGATTGCTTTAATGAATTAGTAATTAAAAGAGTTAGCACACTCTAATGATATGAGGATTTTTCTGGTAACATTACTATTTTGAAAACGATATGCATTAAAATTCTAACTATCTCGGGTACAACTTTTAAGAGGATTAATAAGAAAACATAGATTGTGTTTGGCACATTCGAAAACAATCAGTGGACATTTAATGCAAAATTTTCTGAATATTTTGGAAAACTGAAAGGTATTCTTTTGAACGACTCATGCGAATGAATGGTTAATTTTTCGATATTTTACTCATATTTACCTTAAAACCGTTGTTTTAATTTTGTGGTCGTATACCCTCGATTTGTCGAAGTCTCCCATGGAATTTTTTCGATCACGGAAAAAAGAATGAACTTGGTACGTAATCTCAAAATTGCAATGTATCATTTGTATCAATTGGAATGTATCATTTGGTAATAAATTGCGAACTAAACTAGACTTGAATTAAAGAGGTCATGTTTGTTTTTAAGAGTGAGCAGACCTTTGAATGGCACTTACCCAGAAAATGAAGATAATTTCTGAGTTGATAGAATTAGTATCATATTGCAAATAGATTATTTATCTGGCAACCGGTCAGGTGTAATCAGCCCTCACTGCGGCTCGCCAATGTCTTGCATGTTTAGAGTTTGCGCGTTTTGTATACATTGTCCCCAACAGAAACCAGTCGGAGCAGTCACTCCTTATTCTACTGCTTGGACATAGTATGAGGTCAAATGTATCGCAGCTTTCTAAGTCAACGGTGCTTCTCAAATCCTTCTTGAAAACACCCACAATTCTGAGAGAATCATTTTCTTCCACAGTGACTTGCTTCACTTCGATATCCGATCCGTTTATGGAGTTTATAGTAACTGAGTTCGCTCGTCTTAGAGACAGCGCTTCGCGACCGAAAAACAGAGAACCCTCTCGGAGACTTCGTCTTCTCTCGTGAAACTCAACATTTGCCGTTAGATCTCGTTCATGTTGGACACTAGCTTTGTATGCATTCACCTCTCTTTGTAAAGTGACTAGCAAACAGTAGCTTCTTGTAAAGCCTCTCTCTTCCGAAGTGTAAAACTTTGGTGCTAAATGAACTCGAACAAGTCTGTCCAGAGGAAGAAGTGTGGGTTGTATTTCACTATCTCTCGATGTCGAGTTTCCCTCAGAGTCCGCTTGTCTCTCTTTTGAATCTGTCACCCCCATTTCTACATATCAATCGAAGTAATTTCGCAACCAATGTTCAACACTGTTAAGGGTCTGTTCCTTACGAATGATTCCGCTTTCGTCCAATTAAGAGTGCCACTCACTGGTCAAATAATATTGTAATCTTCATCTCAATTTGATTCACTTGAAGGATTTTTTGGCATCAAACTTGTCCCTTGCTGTTTCCTGACCTTCCCTCGTTAGATCTGAACCCAACGATCTTTCAAAGAGTTGTCAGGCTCTTAACATAAGCACATTAGAAACAAAGGCACGAGAACTACTTAACTTAAAAACTATTAAGTCCGCCCGGCCCCACGGCTGACATTGTTGACACACTTAGCCAGAAACAAGGATACCGCTTATTTTTCGGAAGAAGGCCAGAAGTTAACGAATTGTTCAAGAAGGACCTTGTTTAAAGGTTACCGACCTACAAAGTTTACAAAATATAAAGTAAATAAATATGGCGACCGAGCGGTGACTTATTTTAAGTTTAAAGAATGCTATTGTGACGCAAGGTGTAAATAAACAATAATGAAATAATTATCAAAGACAAAGAAGCACTGCCGGGAAAGCTCCTAGATTTCGTAATGAAAAGTTTTTTTAAAGGTAATACTATTTCCTTGGACTTAAAATTTGAAGAAAACATAAGAAAGGAAAGGTAAAATTTTCTGAGTTAAGATTCTGTATCCAAGGTTACCACAACGGCAGCATGCAATGTGTATGGGCACATACTGTGGGACCATATATGAAGTAACTTCTGCACATAAAAAATGGCGGTTCCCGAATTGCGTGCAGCTGGCCTAATCGTTTTCCGACGGAGGAATTTTAAAGGCCCTTTTGAGTATCTCCTTCTACAGACATCTTATGGACGACATCACTGGACACCTCCGAAGGGTCACGTCGACCCAGGAGAATCGGACATGCAGACAGCTCTACGTGAAACCGAGGAAGAATCAGGGTTGAAGGAAGCTAGTTTAAACGTGATGGAAAACATACAAAAAACTCTGAATTACGAGGTTCGGGGGAAACCCAAGACTGTCATTTACTGGCCTGCTGAAGTGAAAGATTATGATGTTGGAATAAAGCTTTCTGACGAACATCAGGATTTTAAATGGTTGGCCATTGAAAAAGCGTGCGAATTGTTGCATGATACGACTGGGGAAGCTCTGCGTGTTGTGGACCAAGAAATACGAAATATGACGGACTTTTACATTGATACCTACTGAAAATGCATAGCTTCTTTACTGCTTAATTACAGCTCCTCTAAAAATTATGTGCGTAATTCCACAATTTCACTTCTCAATCACTCAAAATGGAATTGTTTCCAAAGAGGGTAAACAATGTTATCAACTGAATTGGTTCGAAAATGCAGGGAAGCTTCATTTGAAGATACATTGCCAAAATATCCTTAAGTCAAGACTGAAATTAATTTCCTTTGAGGTACAATAATTTATTTTCAAGACTTCTCTATTCACAACTAAACATCAAGATAAACACTTAAAATGCATTTCTTTACTCTGAAACTGAAAATGTTCACAGGATGTTACTTTGTTTTAAGGAAAAGGCCAATTAGGGCCTTAATCAATAAGTCTGTTATTTTGAGGTTTGCTCAGTTGTCCTATGCTTAACTTTGATTGGTCAGTAGGTAGACTATTGACCAGTGAAAGTGTTCACAGTTTTTTGAGTTTCAAAGTAACTAAAATTGTAATAAAACATTACAGTATCACTCTATGTCATTTTCAAACAGCAATTTTTCTCCAATCCTGCTCTCATTGCTTTCAATCCTGCAGTCATTCAGTAAGGCAAGTTAACACCTTCTCTCTTAGGTCTTCAATAGAAGCAACCTTCCTCTTAAGAATTTCATTCAGCTGGGTTGCATAGTCTTTAAAATTCTACATTAAAAGGGAAAATATTTTTTAAAGATTGCAGTTCCTCATTTTGGTGAAGTACCATAATTGTTAACTCCTACTGTTTGTCCCATTAGTTATCAAGTTGTATATTGATTGCAGAGCTGCTAATCTCTTCCAGTTGAAAACCTTGACAGGTTATGCATCCCCTTAAAATACACAATGCTCCCCCGTAAAAAGAGGTTAATTACACAGGACTGAAATAGTCATCAGGGATGATGCCCATACCCACAATTAGCTGATTGCCAAGGGAACATTGGTTGACAACCAAACAATAACAATGGAACATAATGCTGCATGAGGTGACATGTAACCAGCCAACCTTATTTCCCGACAAATATTGGCAAATGTGGTTGTCACATCATGATTTAAATCCATACATCTGAGGTGAATACAACACGAGACAGACTTGCCACAGCATTTCAAATGTATGTGGAAGCAAACTGAGTATGAAAGTGCACTAAACAGGACCCCTTTTTATACTCAAAAGATACTTCACAAAAATATTTATTAAAATATCAGCATAAAATTTAGATACCTTTGTTCCACTGTTAATTTGTTTTAAAAGCACCATTTCTTCATGGCACAGCCTAGTAACCATGGCAAGTTGTGCGTGATGAGATGCTACAAGCTGTTCTTGATCAAGGCTCAAACAAAATCCATTTTGTTTGACCTCAACCCTAAAAAATTAAACATTAGGATACGGAATAAACTTCATGCTTTTGACTTCTCTTAACTAGTAAATAAGTTAGAAGTAGTCAAAGATTGATAAAGCATGTTTGATTAATGTGTCTTAAATACTTTTATTGAATTGGTCTGTTCATGTGCAAGTCAGTCAGCAAGTCTATCACTCTATCACTTAGCCAAAATCTGTCAGTGAGTGACATTACCAGACTTAAGGCCAGTCAGCAAGTCAGCCAGTCAGTTGGTCTGTCACAAGGTGTAGCCAGACAGAGAGCAATTAAGTCTGTCATGTGACCAACAAAGAAATCCTTCTGTAGTACCTTCAGTTGGTAAATATCAAGTTCTCATTATCACAAACTGTAGCAGAATCTGCAACCCAATTTCATTTTTGGTGAAATTAAAAAGCCCTGAAGCACTTAAATAAATGTGAACAAATAATCCTTTTAATATGTAATCTGGAAAATTACATACTCATGCACATCAAATTTACTAAAAAGTCTTGGTAGTCATGAGTACCTTGAATCATTGTCATTGATTTCCAGAGGAAGGTAAGGAGCATTTCCTTGGACCTGTTTTTTCTGAGGTTCAATTATTTTGCCTTCATCACTACATACATTTTCCTTACTAAAGAGCTTTGCGAGTCTGATTTTGATTCCACTGCTATAGCGATCATTTCTGAAAGGTGGGGAAGACTCTTTTTCTTGAATGTTAGCATCAAATGATCTGACAGTGGTTTCACCCTTTCTAACACTCTGTCCACCAGAGGGAGATGACCAAGCTTCCTCTGTGTTATCAAATCCCAATCTTGACTCTTTAACAACCAGTATGTCTGGTATGTTCTGTTCTTTATCTCTTTCCATACCAACATCTTCAAGTTTTTCTTCAGAGATTTCTTTCAAGCAGTTAGACCTGATCTGTGTGTCACTGCAAGACTTTCCTTTTGAACTAAAGGCTCTTGACTTGGCTCTTGACAGATGTGGTCTGATTTTTGCTGATTGATCCTTCACTAAGGCTCTTTCTGGAGAAGTATGTGGCCGCAGCATGGGAGATGGTTCATTCCTCACAAGCCTCTCCTTGGCAGTTGCAGCCATGCCATGTCCACTGGCAATTTTTCTGTGATTCACTCTCACCACTGAATCTTTAGTTCTAGGGGATGGTGTTGTTGTAGATGAAGTCTTTGGCCGTAAAATGTCAATTTGTTTAAATTCTGCTGCTCTAAGCTTTCTTGGGGAGCCTTGGGCTAAAGTATCACCTCTTTTTGCAGGCTGAAGACAAGCAAATACACATTGAAATATCTTTCAAGACATTTAACATTGAGGAAAATGCTAAAAAAGAGCATGCTAAAAAAGCTAAAAAACCTGAAATTAAATTATTGAGATGGATAAAACAGTAAGGAGTATTAAAGGACAGTTTCCAAAAAGCGTTTTATTGTAAATTATGACCAAAGAATACTAACTGAATTGACTGCAAAAACATGGAGATTGTTGCGATAGTTGGTATATTTAAATTTCAAATATACCACCTGTATCAATGACACTGACACACCTGAGGTTCAACATCCATTTTGGGTAACCTTTCACTTGTCCCATTGGAAGACATTATCCTGTCTGTCCCAGTGGAAGTTGTAAGCACAGTCTGAGGGCGAATGTTGAAAGAACCATGTGTGTCCTTTTTTAATTCCTTCACCCTGAACATACAAATCATGTAGATAATTATTTGACAAATTTAATTATCTTTTCCTTGTACAGATCTAATGAAATACTGTACATCTATTAAGAAACTGCATTGTTCGACCACATTTATTCCTGCAACAAGGAACTTAAAAAAGTTATTATTTTAATTTTTTTTTATTTAATTTTTTTTCTTCCAGCAATTTGGAACATTAAACAAACAAATTTATCAACTGAGGGAAATAACCAGTCTTACCTGTCAGCATATCTGAGAGTATTAAGGGTGTTCTCACTACAGGACTTGGTGGGTGAAATATTGGCAATCATACATGTTTGGCAGTTTCCAACAAATGAATCCTTCAAAACCTTTCAATTTGTAAAAATGTCATAAAAAATAATAATATTCACTGTAAACACTTTAAGATACATCATGGAAGTTTAAAGGAATTTCCTTATCCAAGTATTAATTATTTTTTCATTTATTTCTCTCATTGACACTAAAATTATACAGTGGTCAGGGAGCCTGAAAATTAAACTAGAGAGCTAATTGTGATATTTTGGTCACCCATCTACAATCACAAGAAAATGTAACTGTACATGTGGAAATCATAGATTGCAAATGTAAGAAATATTTAAGATCTAGATATTACACAATTCAAGGTTACAACTACAGTTAAGGAAATCAATACAATTATGCAGAAAAAAAATCCAAACCACAAGTTGATTTAAGAGAGCAACAGTTCTCCTAAATGAATCAGAACAAGCAATCATGTGACACCAATTCTCAAATGAAATTAAAGGGAGCAGCCAAGATACAGTGCTAATTAAAAGCAGCACAGTAAACTAATGAGTATACCACTAGATTGATTAGTAGATTTAATTAGTAAAATATAATTCAATAGTATCCTCAGACTTGAATATAAACTTTAAGATAGCATTAAAGGTTCAGAGAAATAGGCTTGTTGGACCAAATATCAAAATAAAGTAGTTTCTTTCTTAAGGCTGTCATCAATGTTTCATCAGTCTTGGTACTGTTTAATAAGATGTTCAACATTGTGAAAAAGCTAACTCAAATGCTTTGGGTAGTCAGTTTGATTGGATCGATATGCCTCCCAAAATTACAGTTTAAATCATACATCTTCCCAGTTTATACATACCCGTGTAAGCTTGCTCTGGCGAAATGGTGTGTGTTTAGAGTCCAGGTCAAGTGCTCGTATGCATTCCTTCAACTAAGCAAAATAGAATATTGCTATAATAATAAGGAGATTTGATTCAATATTTTTAAATTTACCTTTAGGTAAAAAACTTAACATTTATTTACACAGGAAGTATTGCATCAGTATGTGGTGAAAAAGTCACATACTTAAGGTTGCATGCACATTAAATTGCAGACATGTTTTATTGAAAATAGTACATCATTGCAGACTGTAGGAGAATTTTTTTGTGATACTATCCCTGAACAAAACTTAGAGAACTTCTGATTGTTGCCGCATGGTGAAAAGCCTGACATTTGATTCACAAGTGTCTGAAATAGGTGAAAAGTAAATGGTGATACCCTCTTCCAAACATTTAACAACTACACTTTCACACTATCAAACCAATATAGCCTTTAACATACGGCTAGGAGGCTCTGGTTAATTTCAGCTCCTTCTACACGAGTCTGTTTGTCTGTGTCAGTCACATCTGCAGCACGCTCACTTCCAGCCAAATCAATAAATGAAAATCTGTGAATCAAAATTTAAAAATTCATATAAATTATAACTGAACCTTTCAAAAGAGCTTCTCTCAGATTTATAATGTAGTACACTATGCAAATTTTCCTGGCTTGTTCTTTTGAATTGAAAATCATGTTTCTGACTTATTTCCAAAGACGTAAACTTGGTAAAATACACTAACATTTTCCCTCTAAAAACTTGAGTTGCAAAACAATCATTTTAACCTTTATCTAGTATTTACCTAGTAATAACAAAGTATTAATTCAGATGATCAAAAACAAATCCTAACATTTACCTTCCGATGAGTTCTTGAGTATCTATGGCTTTTACCTCTAGTTGCAGGATTGCATGGGAACGTGATGAGTCAGCATTCACACCTGTGGCACCAGTGCTCCTGATACTTCCACCATATTCTATCACCTGTTGGTGACAAAAGACAGATCAGATGCAAGCCATAAAATCAGATCTATGTTTTAAGGATAAAAGAGCAGTTACTGTAGAAACTTCATGTTGTTCAAAATATAAAAATTTAAGACAAGAAAGCTTGACAGACTAGTTTAACATTACTGAGGAACATCATATTAGCAGAAGGGCTTAGAGCTTGGCAAAGTCAACCAGAAACATCCTTGTAACTATTCCCTTGAGCATTTCAAAGGAAGAGATAACCACAACTTGAAGGAATATAGACTCTGTCACACAATTTTGAGAGCTTGTAATGGAAGGCTGGTTGGTCAAAGGGACTATTCACTGGGACTTTTCTCCTTCTGAACACCTGCCCACATATATGAATACCTCCATGAGTTCCTCTACATTGTGAACACGCTGCTGTGTTAATCCAGTGATGCAGACCTGATGGTTACTATCTTCTCTGGCAAATAACCTGTGATAGAAAGATGAACAAGTACATTTGAGACTGCAATTCAGAATTCACAGACAGAGTGCAAGCAGGAATGGGGCAGTGGTTGGCATACTTTCTCATCTAACATTTTGGTTTGGGCTTGATTCCCAGACACTACCAGCTTAGTTTGCTACTAAATCTTGTTCTTCTACCTTGCCCTCTTTTCCTCCTTCCACAGAAACATTCTGATTCAAATTCACTCAGGAATCAAGTTGACAAACAGCCACTACATGCTTACACCACTGTTAATTTCTCCTTAATTGTTCATATCCAATAATATTCACTTCTTGCAGGCCAAGATCCTGCCAGTGATTCCATTGAAGTCACTGCCTTGAATTGTTTAATCAGTGTAGAGTACTTGCTATACCATTACATATCGTTAAAAATGGTTTGTCTTTGAATCTTTAGCTAAAATTAGATTTACCTTGATCTCTCATTCAGAAGGTCAAACAACTGACCACAGTAAATCTCATAGAAGCTGATCCACAGACCCATTCCACTGCCATATGTTCCATTATGCAAGATGGAAAAGATTTCACTGGCTGCCAACACATAGATTCCTTGTACCTCATTATTCCCAAGCATTGTGTAAGTTTTTCCACTCCCAGTGCAGCCATATGCAAAGCATGTGGCCTTACCCCTAGGGAAGAACAATTATTAAAAAAATTAACCCTTTACACCGTCAGTATAAATACTCTTCACACTCTTCTCTATACATTTCCTTTAATACTGACAAGGAGAATTTGTTTAACAATCAAAGTTTCTTAAGTTGGCGATCATTTCCTTTATTCTCATGATCTTATTTAATGATTCAACAGTATTACTGTAAGGATTAGATGCTGGTTAATTTAATCTCATGTTTTAAAGGGTTAAGGTGTTTTTTTTCACTGAGTCTAATGGTCCATCTACATCATAGTGCAAAAAACTTTAAATACCTGTTGAAAACTGTCTTGATAAGTGGTTTTGCAGTTCTCTCATAAACATCTTTGTTACTGCAACCTTCACCAAAGGCTTCATCAAACACAAACTGATACTATGAGTTAATAAAAGACTTGTCAAATACAGGTTTCCTAGCCCAGAAATTTTGTACTTGACATACATTATGACAAGCAAGAAATATTTATTATCAGAAATCAGAAACCTTTTGAGTATATTTTGTTAAATCCACAGCAACTTTAGGAGCACTCAGTTCAACTGTATTGCTTGAAATAACTGTAACAACATCATCCTCACTGCTTTCCAATTCATCTTGGCTCAGAGGTCGTTTGCGAACACAGACTTGAATCCTAGATAAGCCATGTTCTGATGTTAAACGGTGCCGTTTGTTTGGAGACTGTTTAGGATTATAGCTAGGAACACCATAATTGTAAAATCCAGGTGTGTTCACAGCATGTTCTGCTGATCTGAGGTGAGAAGGAATAGTTAATAAAGAAAACCCAATTTTAAC